TAATTTTCTCATTTTGAATGGTTTTCCTTTTGTGCAGTGAGAACATTGAAATAATAGCCAATCTGGTTACTTTTCAACAAATTAGGTCTTAAAGAAGCATGATAATGGAAATTTAGTTTTTAGTAAATTGGCAGGAGTTGCTTGATGTTTTTGTCTGTTTTTAAGCTGGAAAGCATAAAAACATTTTTAAACAATAGAAAAAGGCAAGGTGGTTGAATTTTTAAATTTTCAATCACTATTTCTTAAGAGGCTTAGAGCCTCAACAGAATGTAAAATGCTGCCTTGTTCTATCCATACAATAGAATTTGTTTATTTTAAAATAAGTATCTCTATTAATTCAGTATACTTAAGGTTTAAATTAATTTTTAAAAATGAAAAAGCATTCTTGAACTTTCATTTTTAGCTTTAATTGAAAGCTAAAAGATTTAAAATTTACTATTTCTAGTAAGCAAAATACTCTGTGGTGTATTTAAAAAACGAAATTATATTAATCAGAAGTGATTTTTTTTCAGTAAAATCGGCCGTTTTAACATATTTGTAAACAAAAGTTAATTCTCGATTTTAAAAATTTTGCAGAAAAAAAATTTCTGAAACATTATTTGAGCAAAGTTTGCAGATTTAAAGTTAAATTAGTCTGATTCGAAACAAATATTACTTATAGCATAAAGTGTTGCATACAAACGTTTCTTAACCAGAGGTGTCTTGTTTTTCTGATGTATTGACAAATGTGCTCATAGTTATGATGGAGCAGAGGATCAAGTTTTTCTTTCTCCGACGTAAGGGGAGACAACCTTTAAAACCTTTTAAATGCTAAAATTATCGGTCTGTCCATCCACACTTCAGAAATTCTGCACGTAATCACATACAAAAACAAATCAAAATTCTTTTTAATATATTTGGGGTCGTCAGACTGTAATAAGTTTTACTTTACGATATATGATTAGTAAATATAGTTTTACTTAACAATATTTCCTAAGATTAAAAATTATCACAGTGAAAATGAATTTTAAGATTCAAAAACTTTATAAATTATCCAAATTTAAATTGCATAAAATGAAAACAAATCTTGTAAAAATTCCTTTTTCATCGAAAAAAATTTCTTCATACAAGATTGCCTTTATAAAAGCAATTAAAAGCTTCTCTAATTAAACAATGTACTGCGTTTTTTCTTTTTTGAGTCAGAACAGATTTTTTAAGACAGGGTCCGATTTTGCAAAAAAAAAAAAAAATTCTGTGATGTAAATTCTTCAAAGAATTCTGCTTTTAACTATTATAGTCACTAAAAAAATAAAAATTATCACGTTGAATTTCTCAAATTTTCATAAAAAAAAATTATGGGGCTGAAACACGTAAAAAATATTTTTACCAAGATTTTCCAATAAAAATAATGTCATTCTTTTGTGAATAATTACTGAAAATTTCATTAAAATCCGATAATTATTTGATCTTTGCAAGAATTTTCGAATTAATGTCTGTCACCGCAAAAAAAAAAAAAAAAAAAAGTGAAAATTTGATATACTAAAAAAAGTTAGGACAACCACTGACACAAGAAAAACATGTTTTTTTTTTTTTGTTTTTTATATCAAAATTCCGAATGTTCTAAAGTGGAGTAAAAAAAATATAAAATAAATAAATAATTGAATATTCAAAAAATCCTTCCTCTTAATAAGAAAGATAATTTGACGATAAAACTGTTTTCATTAAGTTTTGTTTGAAGCAGGTTTTCATCACGGTATGATTTTTTTAGCGATCTTGTGGTTTAGGCTAAACAAAAGTATAAAATTACCCTTCAATTAATTTCATTTAAATTCAGCTAGTGAAAAACCCCATCCTCAGTAAAACTCAGATTTACTAAGATTTATAAACATTTCCTATTTACTTACAGTACACCTGTTATATTTCGATAGTAAATAAGAAATTAAATAAAAAATGTTTTTTACTTTTTTTAATCAACAAAACTTTAATATCAACAAGTCAGTGTCTCTTTACTTTTTTTAATTATTCTGTCCACTTCTCTAAATTCAGCAAGAAAAAAAACAAAACAGTTAATAATGTCATCCATCTTTCTAGGCAATACGAGGAATTTGTGTGTCTGAATGTTTTCGGTTCTACACTCTAATGACCCCAAGGACCAAATAAATAACCAGATTTCTTTTGGGTTGAACCGAAAACTTTTCAGCTAACAAATTAAATATTACCCCTAGTTTTTACTATAGATTTTAATTAAAACCGCTAAAACTAATGTTAAAATTGTTAACAAATGGGAATTATTCAAGCAGCAATTGCAATAGGTTTTCCAAAACGAACTGTACATTTTAAAAAAGAATTTTTGTTAAAAACAAAAATAAAATACAAACATTTTCTGATAGTGATAAAAAAAGATGGCAAATAATTCATATTCCACGATGAGGAATTTGAAAATCCATTTCTTCCAAAAACCACAACAATGATTTATCCTCCAAAATGAACTGATGAATTTATTTTTGCCACGAATAATCCATGAAAACGGCAAAAAATATTTTAAGACACTGAGGTCTTTTTTTTATTATTTAACCCTGATCAAATACAATGTTTTCAGTTGCCTGAAAAATAATTTCCTTGTCCGATTCGAGACGGCGAAAGAAGCCCCAAAGACCGGATAATGCTTTTTTTTTCTTAACCAAAAGAAAACTGGTTGGGCAGCAGCAGTAATCGACAGACGATGGAAAGAAGACGAAAGAAAGGGAGCGGGGGAGACGACGACGAACAGGCAGCAGCAATTTTGTATGGCGGCCGGTCGGAATTTCAAGAAAAGACAGAAGAGGCCGACGTTTGGTTGTCCCGCCTAAAAACTGAAATATTAATGAGCGCCGTGCAACCAGCTTGGAGCGGATTCAGCCGCCTGGAACCGACTTCGTCCGGTTACAGCTAGAGACGGAGGAGGAAGAGGAGGAGGAGAAGAAGGAGAGTGAGAGAAACAATGGAAAACTGAAGTGGTGGGATGTCGAGCGAAATGAAAGACAGTGGAGAGTGAAAGAAAATTTAAGAGTAATTAGGGAAATAATAGATCAGAGAGAGAGAGTGTGGAGACCAGTGTTCTTTTCTCTCTCATGACTTTCTACCTTCTTTTATCAGGTCAGCTAAATCTAGGCAATATTGCAACCTTACATTCAACTTTAACATTCAACAATATCAATAACACACACACGGGAAATTATATAACGAATCTTATATACACAAAATCTGCAACTGTCTCTGATGAACATGTACTTCATTATAATAATAATTTTTAATAATATCGATCGAAAGAAACGCGTGCCTCAGACGCACACAGGAATGGATTGTGTTTTTAACACACAAATTTTTGGTCACACACGGACAAGACAAGTGTAATGCCACCACTTCGATAAAGAAATTTATTATCACTTCAATTTTAATGTTGAAATTTTCTTTACTAAATAAAAGATTAAAATTAGTTATTAAAGGTGATTGCTGCAAATAAAAATGACTTTTATTATTTTGATTTTCTTTATGCCATTTGTCCATCTTTTGCGTCTGCTAAGCACGGCCATTTTGAAACCTTTCTGCCAAAATCTCGACACACGATTAAAAAATGCTATTATTCTCAAACAAACTGAAAAGTAATAAACGTAACTATAATATAATAATAATCACAAAAAAGTTGAGATAGAAATTAAATTGGAATTTATGGTGCAAATAATAAAATGAGAGAACCTAATAAAACTACATGAGCGCATAAGCAATTCTTGGTGACATTTTGGAGAGGGCGGGAGAATTCTAGAAGTGCTAAAATATTTTAATCTCTTTTCCATTATTCTAACAATTATTCTTACAATTTCACTAAATTTATTTTGGTTGGTTCTGAGGAGATCGACTATTTGAAAATAAACGGAAAACAGTTGAAAATATCGCTTAAGAGATGAAAGACTAAAGTAAACGCATATTATTCAATATGTCCCTAATTTGCATATTAATATCACAAGGTTTGCATAACAAAAATGTTCTTTCAAATCGACCTTGTAGGTTGAAAATCATTAAAAAATATAAAAAATAAAGCATTTTTCTATAATTGCATTATTTTCCTATTATTCAGAATGCTTTTTAAAAATCACTAGCGCTGTGCATTGTTGAATTTGAGAAAGAAAGCCAGAAAAATACAAATCAATTAAAATAAAATGAAAATATTATCCACAAAAATTATACGAATAACAAACATGATATGAAAAAGACTTTTTTAATTTTCTAAATATTTCTGTAAAACTATCAGGAGAAAAATTTCGAAAAAGGAAAGGAAAATTTAACTGAAAAAAAAAAAAAAAGATTAAATATTGTAGAAAAAGTATTACAGAGAAAAAGAAAGCGCATCTCTCTTTTATCATTTTTTGTGCAAGTGAAGAGTAAGACAATGTATTGTAGAAAAACAAAATGTGAAATCAAAAACGAAATGGAAAGAAATATTTATAAAACTATAATCTTAAAAATGATTATTTTTAATTGTTTTATTAAAATTAAAACCTACAAGAGATCGATTGTTTAAAAAAGAAGAGAGACCATTCAACGATTGAAATGAAGACTAAAGTAGATAATGATGATGATAATAAATGCAGCAATAAAATCCAATAAAATGGAATGGGTGAGGAGCCCTTCTTTTTTCTGTTGTACCAATTTCTGTACCATGTGGAAGAAAATATCCCTGGCCATGTTATTAAGCCTAAAAAAATTTCAAAAACAGTCCTCTTATGTTAGATCAACATTTAGACAAAATAAATAGTCAACTTTCATTATTATTAACAGAGAAAGATGAAAAAGGGTTGAAATTGAAGCGAAAAAATAGAAAACATTTTGTTTACATCGGTAAATCAGACCAAAACATAATAAGAGTACAACGAGCCTGATGGAAAGCTTTTTCATAATCAGGACGAAATTAACGAGAGCAAAAAAGTGTTTTTTCAATCAGAACAGAAAAGATGTAAGAGAAAATTAGGAAAAAATCAACTTACGGCTCTTCTCGGAAGTGTCACACAGAGTATGAATTATAAATTTAAATGGGGGACTTGTGTTGTAAGGAGGAAAGCAAACGAACTACTGGGTGGCGAGTGAAGAAGGCCTTGTCTACGGCGGTAGATTTCCTTGAGAGATTCCGGAAGGTTGCACATGAAGCGCGCGTTGTGGCGGGAGGGAATCGAGGAAAGGCTAAGACTTTACAGAGGGGTGGGACACAATGGGGGGAAAGAAAGAGAAAATATGTAAAGCAACAGAGTGAGAGGCAAAAAGGGAGAGAGAAAAGCAAAATACAGGGTGGAATTTTATTGACAAAGCAAAGGGAAAAGAAATATAGAGCGAGAGAGAGGTAAATGAAGAAAGATGGCATAAGTTTGCGGATTTCGTGTTTATATTTAAAAATTGAATTGAAAACGAAGAGAAAGATGAAATTTAGAAAAAGTAAGTGACAATTTCAAGGAGAGACAAGAGTGAGAAAGAGGAGCAGGCATGAACGAATCATAAAGCTAAGAGAGGAAAAAAGTGAGAATTTGATGTAAAGATGTTTGTTAAAAATAAAATATTTTATTTTTAGTCTAAATTTGAGTATAACTACAAAAAATGTAATCATGAAAATGAAAACGGATACAAGAAGGAAAATATTCCTGGAATTTTTTATTATTTTTTCCTAAAAATGAAAACGATTCGTTCATAATTTTTCTGTTGGGAAGTTTTCACTTGAAATTTTAATTTTAATTTATTCTTTTTAATTTTTTTAAAAATGTTTCCATTCCATAATGCTTTTTGAATCCTTCGCATCCAGCTTTCGATAATCACATCAGTGCTAAAGAATAATAATTATTTCAATTTCACACTCAAAGAAGAATAACTTCCAGTGGCTGGTGTAGTACACTACACAACACTAGAGAGTCTGTACTTATTAAAAAAAAAAAAAAAAAAAGCTTTTAAAAAAAGATAGCAATTAAACGTGACTACTTTTCAACCCATGTGTTCTTTTTTTCTAGTATTAATAAAAGTCAGTAGCCGCTGAAATTTTTATTTAAATTAAATTTTTAAATGTTGTCTGCAACATTTAGAACAAAAATGTATCGTCGCTAATTAAAAACTTACAATTTCTATGAACCAGAGTCGAACTAAAATTAAATTACGTAGTCTTTGTTCATTACTTGCAGGTAAAATGCACTGCATAAGCACATCCGATTAATGCAGAACTCATTTATTTGCAATCCAACCGAAATAATTGTGCTTGATCGGACATAACACACAAAACATGAAAAGTGAGTGAAATTCTCAAACGTGTAAAGTAAACATTAACAACAACAATGGTGGCCAAGTCACTGTGACCGTTCTTGTCAATCGTTTACATAAGATAAAAAAAAACAGTTAAAATTTGAATAAAGCATCAAAGTTTTCACTGACATCTTTCAATTGATAGCAATACAAATTTTATCAATGCTCATTTCTCAATACCGAGGTCTAAATTTTGTACAAGAAGCTAAAACATGATAGCAACTCGACTGGCAGACACGGTTAGGCATCCATGTTTTAACATGTGCGAGGGAAACTCCTCCTCTTGAAAATTGAAATGAGGAAAAATGCCGCATGTTTTCTTATTTGCGGTATATAGAACCGCTTTAAAACTGACAAAAATGTGTCTATTTCTGATTGAGGTAGTCATAAGTAAACATCTTTATTTATTATTTTAAAAGAAAGTTAGCCAAAGTTACACTTTTTCCGATTTATTACAAAGAAAAGTAGTTTAACACACAGAAAACTCTTTGTGTGTGTGTGTGTGTATGTGGGGCGAATTAAACCAAAATGAAAAAAAAACTATTTAATAATTCAAATTGCTGTTGTTAATTAGACACTTTTTCTTTCTTTTTTTTTACACAATATTTTTAACATACCTTTTTTACAACTTTTTTAATTCTAACGCAGAGTTACTTTTACTAAGTTTTTCACTCAACAACAATCAATAATTTTTTTTATTTTCTTATTTCAGTTCATAACCTACATTATTTCCTTTATTATTTTTCTTCATTCAAACTATTTTCGTAGAAAGTTACTCAAAAAATGTAGAGAAAAAACGAAGAAAAAGTTCTTACCACTATAAGCGATGATTCGCTTTTTTTTGCCTTTTTCTCTTCTTGTCCCTTCTTAATGGTTTTTCTTATAGAGCGCACCATCTGCTGTTTAAAGTGAGTTTTTCTTTTTTTTTTTTTTTACAAATATTTCTGAGTTTGGTGAAAAAAAGTTAGAACGGAGAGTTGTTGTTGTTGTTGTTGTTGTTGTTGTGCAACTAACTTTGATTAACGAACGGTATTTGCGTGGCTTCTCCTGTTGATCTCAAGTGAGTGGCTTACAATGGTCCGCGTGTTACAAGTATATATGTTCGGGGTTTTTTTTACCTTCACAAAACACGCGTATACACCAAAGAGAAATGATTCTTCTTCTTATATTAAGAAGACATATACAAGCGTACAAAGATAAAATGACTTAATACGCGAATGAGCATGAAACAAAGAGGCATCCACATACACCCATCATGGTCTGGCTTTTTTCATCTATTTCTAAAACGTGTTTTCGTTATTGCTTCTTTTTTTTTTTTGTAGGCAATTTTTCGTGTTTATGGGTAAAGTACACACTTATGCGACTGTTTACATGTGCGTGTCAATTATTATGTATATTACGCGCACCGTTTCTGTGTGTGTGTGTGTTGTGAGAGAGATACGCAACGCCCCGTTGGAGAAGGAGACTAGTGCGCGCAATTTATGAACGCATGAAAGCACTCATAAAAACATGATTATGAAGTGTAAATGATATCCAGTTTTTCTTTTTCAGACACGCACCTGAACATATGAAATGTCTCTGCGGCTCCGCATATCTCACTGTCATCTCTGCTCCCATTTCTTGCTTTTCTCTGCAGTGTCAATCAATTCTTAAATCTCAGCAAGAGAAGTCATTGAATAACACTAACAGTAACACAAAATTTGGGTAAAAAAATATTGCTAATTAATATTAAAAAAAAAAAAAAACCTCGAGTAACTTATTATTTTCGTATTTACGATTTTTTAAAGTGGGAAGTAATAAATAATTCTATGTAGAAGCAAGGAAAAAGTTGGAATAAAAAGAAACTAAAATCAAGAACGCTAAATGGAAACAAAACTAAAAGTTATCATTTATCAAAATCTGAAAAAACGCAGAACACTGTTTAAAAATATTCAAAAATAATTTAAAAATATGTTAATTAAATCCTCATATTACAAACAGTGCAAGGAGAACAATAACAGCAGTTACAATAATGAACTAGTGAGTTGTGGTAGGTAACCTGACAGCAGCAAAAAAAGTTTTTTTTTTTTTTACTTCGTCGTGAATGTGTGACTACTCGTTGCTTTTTTAAAGGTTGTTAATAATTATGCAGTTCATTTTATTGCTAAAAAAAAAAGTAAGACTAGAATTACATGTAATTGACTTGATAATAGTAAATGATCTAAAACATTATAATACTCATTCATTGTCTTTGTAATTTATTTACTCAAACAAAACAAGAGGTGTGCTTTAAAAGAGGAAGAGAGATGAGTGGGGAAGTAATAGCCAAATTTAATAAGTGTGTACATCAGAATTTACAAATTCAACGTTTTGTCAACATTGAAGATCCGCGTGTACACGCATGAGAAAAAGCGTGCATGTTTGTTTTCTTAACGGTTAAAGTGGGTGGGAAATGATGGTGGTTGGTCCAACTGGTGCTAGAGTACTTAAATGATTACTTCATATTTAATATCTTACCTTGACACATTTGGCCAAAAGGGTGAAACGTACTGTGTATTTTCTTTCTTTTGATGCTTACAATTGCATTACTGCACTCCACTTTTTTCATTGGCTCTTTCTTCGTATATATAATATTTTTAAAATTTCAATTTAAACACCACGAACGGTTTTTTTGTCGGGTACTGAAAAAGTGGATAAAAAGAAAAAGATCGGCTTCAAAATCCAACTTTTAAAAATTATGAAGAAAATTTCTAAATTTGAAAATACCTAGACTGAGTAAAAAAAGAGTTTAACTAAAAAATAAAAAAAATAATGAAAAAATCAATAAAGGATTATATTTCCGAATGTTTTGAAAAGATAAAAAGTTGAGAAAATGAGTATGGATCTCTGAAGGAAGAAATCTAAAATCCAAAAGTTAAAATGTTACCTTTAGCTTCAAATAGGAAACAGCATCACAAGAAGAATAAGTGAAGAAAGGAGTCTAAAAGACTACAAAAAGTAACTTGAAATAACTTGCCGTGGAATCGGAGAAAAGCAATATTGTGTCGGGATGAAGTTAGTAAAAAAAAGTATAAAGCCCTATCAATGTCGAAATTATCAAGTGTCAACCAACACTCCTTATCAATAAAAACATTAAAAATTCCTTAGTTAAAGTATACAAAATTTACGTCTTCTGTGGTCTTTTTGATATTTAAAGAAACGAAAATGCGATAGTTTTCTTTTTTAGACATTTCCTTGTTCTTTTGTTTCTTTTTTGTTCTTTTCTTTTACATCGTTATTTTGTGAAATATTTCGTTTATTCGTCTAAAAAAGTAATTTGGAAAATTTTTTTTGATGAAGTATCTTGTCGGTGCTAGGAAATTAAAATTCAGTTTATTTCGGAATATATATATTTTTTTATAATTTTATTTATTACACTACTAAAAACATTTAACTGTTGGCATTTAAAAAAATAAAAGTTGCGAGGGAGTTACTGCATGCCACAAAGGCATTTATTACTTTTAGTGGTAATTTCATGTTTCGCAACAAGCAAAATAAATAAAAACACGTGTAAAAAGTGACGTGAACTAATAATAATGACGATTTAACACTATCAGTAGGAGAAGGATGAAGTACGTCTCTAAAGAAACAGACGCGTGACCCGAAAAGTGGGACGTGACCTTTCCTTTTTGACATTTGTTTTGGGGAGACTTTGTGTTCCTATGCAGGAAAAGCGCATGCATCTACAACACAACACGTGTGTATGCATGTAGGTGTCCGTTTTATTTATTTTTTTTTACTCCTCTTCTCTTGTAATCTGACACTGAATTTTATTTTCTGTCACTGTGTTTGCAGTCGTCCTTCCTGCACTTTTAAAAGTAATAAAAAAGAGAATTAAAACGACTTAGAAATTTATTTAATTTAAATTCCCGTCCCTCAAACACGTGTGGATGGTGCCTGCCGTGTGGAAGGTGCAAGGATTTACTGTCAACAAAAAGTATGCAAAAGGACAAAAAATAATACGAGCGTATTCGATGAAAGGAGAACAAAAAGGTTTAAGATGAGACAAATAAATATACGAGCGATAAAAGGCAGTAAAAAGTCCTTAGCGCGGACTCTCTT